TAAGGCTGAAGATATGCCTGTGCCATGAAGACTAAGGTATGCCTAGGAACTTATGTCCTTCCCAGGTCCAGCCCTTGACTGGTGATAGACGGATGTGCAGTAGAAGTATTCTACTTTTCTTGTCCCCGACACGTGCCTAACCTGCCTCCAGAGACCCTCTGAGGTTAAGCCAGTTTCCTCTGGGGACTTTGCTGGGCATCACACATTGCTTGACTTTTTTCCTTTCCTGATTCCACTTCCCCTTCACCTCTCCAGGTTTTCCCTGGAGATGCTTCCTAATAAATTACTTTCTCTCAAACTTCCATCTCAAGGTCTGCTTCTGTGGAATCCACCTAAGACATAAGCCAAGTGTGGTAGGCAACATAATGGCCCCTTTGAAGTGTCCACACCCTCACCCCTAGAGCTTATGAATACAGCAAAGGGGGCTTTGCAGGTGTAATTAAGGTTGTAGATCTTAAGTCAGAGAGATCATCCTGGGTGATACAGGTGGGCCTAATCTAACATGTGAACTCTTAAAAGCAGATAACTCTCTGGCAGAAGGCAGGGAGATGCAGCAGAAGAAGCAGTCAGAGAGACTGTAAGCATAAGAAGGATTCGATACACCTTTGTTGCTTCTGAGATGTAGGGGCCAAGTGCGAGGACCTGAGAGTGGCCTCTAGGAGTTGACATCTAGCAAGGAGAGCAGAGGCTTCAATCCTACAGCTGCAAGGAACTGAATTTAGCCAACAATCTGAATGAGTTAGAAACAGATTTTGTCCAGAGCCTCCCACAGGCTGACACCTTAATTTCCACCTATGAAACCCAGAGCAACGAGACCAGCTGAGTCCACCCTTACTTTTTTGCTTGTTTGTTTTGTTTTTTGAGACAGGGTTTCACTCTGTCACTCATGCTGGAGTGCAGTGGTGCAATCACGGCCTACTATAGCCTCTGTGTCCTGGGCTCAAGCCATCCTCCCACCTCAGCCTCCCGAGTAGCTGGGAGTACAGGCACATGCCATCATGCCCGACTAATTTTTACATTTTTTTGTAGTGATGGGGTTTCCCTTTGTTGGCCAGGCTGGTCTCGAACTCCTGGGCTCAAGCAATCTGCCTCGGTCTCCCAAAGTGCTGGGATTACAGGCATGAGCCACTGTGCCCAGCCACAGCTCTTACCTTTAACCTACAGAACTGTGAGATAATACATCTTTTTAAGCTGCTAAATTTGTAGTAATTTGTTACAGTAGCAATAGAAACAGATATACCCAAGTTTCACATAAATGATGTGTATACACACTGTCTATCCTTCTGGCAACGTGCGCTAAGAATGTCATGAGTTTTGTCCATATAACCACCTATGCTTCAGACCCACACTGATGTAAAGATTTATGAAGTCTGTTGAGCTCTTTCTGAGGGTTGTCATTTCTTCTGTCCTCTCCCTTACCTCAATTTCTTTGCACTAGGGGTAGGGGTCTCAGTTTGCTTTATTTTCCTACCTGTAATTTTATCAGTGAAGGAATGCAGAGGACTGTGAAGAAGGGACTTCTGCCAGTGCGGAGGGCATAGGCAGAAATGGGAAGTCACTTGGTTGTGGTGAATTAGCTTGTCACCTGTGGGACAGGGAAGATTAGCACAGAGGGAGTTCCCACCAGGGCCCTGAACTCTACATTAGGTTCTCCAGGTTGACTCGTGTGAGTGCAAAGAGTGAAACTGCATTTGGAGATTCTGAGGTCCTTAGAGCAAAGGAGCTTGGCCTCCATATTACAATAGCAGGAATTGTTGGAGACTCTCAGCAGGGATCCTGGATTCTCCAATGACATATTTTTTTCCCCTTCTGCATCTCTGTTGAAGCACGTGTGCCCTTTTACCAATTATGAGATTTTTTTTCTGATCATCTCTCTAACAATAACTCACTCTAAGCAGACACTCTGTGGTCTTCATAAGTAATATTTTTTTATCTACATGCAGCCACACATCTATGATATAGCCTTGAGGCCCAAATACAAGCCAACTTCTCCACTGGGAGGTTTCCCTTCATCACCACTCTGTGAGTTAGGAGCTTCTTCTATCCCGATGTCTGACTCTGACAATCTTAACTGATGAAGGGCAAGGGAAATGACAATCTGAGCACCTGCTGCTCTGTGTGCTTTCTCTTTCTGCCTCCACCTGTAGAGAGGCACCTCTATTTGTGAATACGCCCCCAGGCCTGTGTTGATGTCAGGTTGCATTAAGGGATGGAGCACAGGTCCTGCCCAAAGAGGCCTTACCTAGTGGTGTTCTTCCTGTTGTCTGGTTCTTAGCTTTTGTGTGTGAGCTTACTTTTTGAGCACCCTGAGAATGGGTTCATTTCTCAGGCAAGTTTTACATTAATACAGCTCATGAATCAGACTAAAGTATAATGTAAATAGGTCAAATCCTTCATTTACAAGAATTGTCTTAAGGAACAAAATGTTTAAAGTTCAAATTAGTAGCACACTCTTTCCCTGTTCTCAGAGTCAGTTGAAAGTCAAATCATAATCAGAATTCCAACTCTCATTTGCAATGAAATTTCTGCCACAGAGAGAACATTCTGAAGCCCAAGGGATCCACAAATACTCCCTGTAGATGTCATGCAGGAAGCAAAATAATCCAAAGGTTGATTGGTAAGGGTGAAATCAGAAGCAGGGGAAGTTAAATAAATATTCAATGCTCTTGTGGCCTTTTCGCTCCTGTAGTTCAGTGAACAGGAGCAGTGCCCAGTGGCTTCTTCTCTCCTGTTGCTCAGCGAGTGGAAGGGAGTGTTACAGCTCTTTTACTCTGTCTTCCCACAACCTGGCAGGCAGGAGTACTACAGCTCTTTTATTCCTGCAGTTTGGTAAGATCCAGGTTCTTGTCCCATGATCAAGAGGAATAAGGTACGTGGACACTGGAGAGTGAGTAAAACTGAGTAGAATTTTATTGAGTGACAGAAAGCTCTCAGCATCAAGATGGGACCCAAAAGTGGGTTGCTATCTGTGAGGCTGAGTCAGGGGTTTTTATGGGCTTAGAATGAGGGAGTTCATGCTGATTGGTCCATGGATTGTCTTGGAAAAGGCACCAATTGGCTAAAAGGCATAATTCAGAAGGAACCAATCAAGAGAGAGTGGGTAAAGTGGGGATAGTTCTTACTCGGTTGTGGACTCTATTTGGAACTGGCAGCTGGTTTTCAGGCTTTAAGCTGTCCTTGTCTTGAAGGTTGCATTTCACTGAGGACCCATCCCTGTCTGCCTAGGATTTCTCTCCTGTCACTATCAATACTATCATGACATCATAGCTGGATGCTTTCCTCTTAATGGTTGGGATGGTTTTAGAATGCCATTTAGACACTCTGTGGTCTTAATAAGTAATATTTTTTATCCACATGCAGCCGTGCATCTATGATATTGAAATGGCACTGAAATACTCAGAGTCCATTATCAAGGATTCACCATGTCTGTCTCCATCTTCATATTAGAGATGTGTGCATCACAACCCAAATGCACTATTTCTGTTGGGCATGACCTTATCTTCACTGGGTAGTGTTTAGCTTCTCAACATCCCAGTGTTCAGGCAATCTCTCTGGTTTCTGCATGGCTGATACAGGCCCTCTTCTGAGGGAGTTTCTTCTTTAGATACCAGTATGTTTAATCTGTTTAGAGTGAGTATCTGCTAAGAAGAAATGCATTCTGACTCCTTGAGGTATGTTTTTTCCATTTCATTACAAATTGAATTTACAACTTGATTGTCAAGAAAAAATATTTCTCTCACTCCCATGTTCTCACACCACGTATCCTAAACTTCTCAGAAAGTCATAAACCTTACCAGTTTCTCTCTATGACTCCCTGCCTTTATGCTCTCTTGAAGTTCTAGGCTCTGAATGAGTATATAAGACTTATATGGGATAAAAACACAGGGACAGAGTCTAACATCTTGGCCACTACAGGATATGTGCCCAGCCAACAGACAGCTACTCAGAAGTCTGATTGCTACAGAATATATATGGTGGGAGAGGGATTTTTTTCTCTCTCTTTCAAAAAATGCAGGGCTGTTTGAGGGGATGAGGCATAGGCCACCTATTGTCATTTACTTATCTATGTCCATTGACCTTATTGTTTAGTGAATTTTTTTACTAGATGCTGGCAATTGACTACCAAATTCTGGTTTTAGTGTGGCTGTGAGTTTCTCAATATGGGGGTTATTTACAGTTTGGGGAAATCTCTATTAAATGTTTTTCACTGGATTTAATGATAAATATAATTCCCAGTTCTTCAGCATTTTTTGAGGTTTATAGTTACAATGTCTAAACCTAAAACTATGGATATAATGAGTAAATGAAAGGCATTGTTACTGTGCTGGCTTCTCTCTTACTTTGCACATGAATTTGGGCAGGTGAAGCTTTAGATATACTTGAATACTTGAAACTCAACTGTAATAACTTCATGATGTAAAGTAACTTCATGATTTAGGGCTCTCTGAAATGTCAGCATTCATGTTGGTGTCTTTCTGAAGAGTCTGTTGACTGTAAAATTGACTTTTTGAATTTCAGAAATAGGTCAAGTTTAGCAGGACCTTTAATAATTTCAAGACTCAGCATATGCCATGGGAAATGAAGACTGGAAATACTAAAAGTCAAATTTAGGGGCAGTGTTCTTAGTAGGGAACACTGAGTATTTTTCTAAAGTGTTTATGCTGTTGGCCTCTGTTTCTGTTCTTTCGCAGCCTGTGATATGTTGGAAAACGGATGGGCTTGAAGCTGGTAAAAACAAGCATGGAATCCAATCAAAAGAGTTTAGATCAAGTGATTTTACTTCTCTTTGACCTTTGCATTGTGTAACAGGTAAAATGTGGGCGAGCTGTCGGGATACACAGTTGCCAGCAGGTGTTAGTTTTCCGCTTTTGAAGCAGCTTTATCTTCTTTACTTTTAGTCACTTTTACTCTTTGACCAGCAGTATCATCACATCTCAGCTTTTTCAAATCGTGCACTTTGTAGCAGTTTCTAGTCCATACATAGTCCCAGAGATAAGAAGAGAAGTTCCTTTATTTGAGGATAATTTTTCATGAACATCATTATCATGTTTTGACATTTATTAAATATTTGCTTGTTTGGAAGAGACAATTCGTCATTTAAAAACCTCAACATTCAATCGACTGTATTGCTTAGGCAGGCAGAAGAATAAATGAAATTAAGGCATTTGTTCTTCTAAATTATTAGGTAATCTCATGTTCTTCATCCGCGTATGTAATGTTACTCTTTAATCTTCTCCAAAATATGTTCTTATCTGTCAGCTCATTTCATTTGACCCTCCAGACCACTGTAGGAAATTGTTTGATATATATATACATATATTTTTTTACCGTCGAGGAAACTTAGACACAAAAGACACATACCCAGCTTTAGTGTCTTGCCCAAGAATTCAAGGCTGTCCAGTGTTGGCTGTCCAAAGAGGAGCTAGAGACACATTAAATGCCGTGTCATCTGCAGTAAGTATTTGCACATAGTCCCACATTAACCATGTTAATGTTATAAATACCCATGCATCTGCTTTAAGGTGCTCCAAGGTAACGTTTTGCCCACATGCATTATTTTCTTTTAGAATTTTTGATTATTCATAATATCTAGCCAATAACAATTTCAGTGTAAATGGGCTGGTGAGTATATTACAATCACTTCTACCTATAGTTACTGTCCTTGGAAAGCCTTTATTCTCAGCTCTTTATTAAGAACTTTAAAACTCTTGATGTAACACAAATTCAATCAGATCATTTAAAAATGGTTACTAGTGCATTATAATAGTTCTTGGTTGCAAATGTATATTTTGTTATTTATAAGCCCTTTGATTACGACTATACATTAGCAATAAATGTAAGTATATCACCAACCCAGCTTTGAAGTAAAAGATTCTGTCAGTTTACCCTACATAAGGTCATAAAGCAATATCACCTTCTAACTTAAAGTGACTTAAAACCAACTGAGCAGATGTATGTAAATGCTCTTGCACCAATTCCAGTATCTCCCAAGCAGGGAAACACTGTAAGAAAAGAAAACAAACTCACCCATTCCCTTTTCTTATCTACATTCAGACCAAGCACATGAAGTATTCCCAGAAGTGAAAAAATATAATTCAGTTGTCTCCTGCCTGGGTTTCCATCTGGACTTCATCATGCAACAATGAGAAAAGAGCACGGTAAATGGCTTCAGCCTAATAACATTTTTAATGGAATGCTGGTATGCCCCTCTTCCAAGTGGTCTAAAAAGACAAAAGCCTCTGCACAGTTAAAAGCTATTTGTGGGAAACAGAAAGATATGTGGCTTTAAGCAGTATTTCTATTTAAGCAGAAAATCAGAAATTCTTCATTTAATAAATGTGTGTGCACAGCATCTAAGTAAAAGGATATATGAAATCAAAGTTCAAACAATAAGATTTCTTGAAACTCATTTTGTTCTTTTCTTCTGTGATATTGTAATTATTTTAAAATTAGGCTTCAAATTATTTTTTGCTTTATACAATGAATGATTGTCTTTCTTATTCTAAACTCTATTTTGCCAGGAATTGAGCTATTCTACCTTTATTTTGGTGAGTATATAATAGTATCTTTCTCCACCTTTTTACTTTTAACCTAGCTATATGTTTTTTTTTTCTTTTTTCTTTTTTTGGTTTTAAAGAGCAGAAAGTTTATTTATTTATTATTTTTGAGATGGAGTTTCACTCTTGTTACCCAGACTGGAGTGCAATGGCACGATCTCGGCTCACCGCAACCTCTGCCTTCTGGGTTCAAGCAATTCTCCTGCCTCAGCCTCCCAAGTGGGGGACTACAAGCGCGCACCACCATGCCCAGCTAATTTTTGTATTTTTAGTAGAGACGGGGTTTCACCTTGTTGACCAGGATGGTCTCGATCTCTTGACCTCGTGATCCACCCGCCTTGGCCTCCCAAAGTGCTGGGATTATAGGCGTGAGCCACCGCGCCCGGCCAAGGAGTAGAAAGTTTAATAGCCAATAAAGAAGGAAGAAGCTCGCCCATAGAGACAGAGGGAGGGGGATCCAAAGCTGGGAGAGGAAACCCCGAGTGCCATGGAAATCAGCCAGTTTTATGAGAAGGCAATGTCTGGTTTGCATAGGGCTCAGAGGATTGGTTTGACCACGTATGTAATTCACATAGCCACAGAAAAACTGGCTCTCCCACCCTAGTCTTTTAATGTGCAAATGCAGGATGCCATGATGTCCTACACCTGTGGGGACATGTGGGGCAGGCCACGTTGCCAGGCACTTGTGGGGCAATAACCTAGCTACATCTTTATATTGAAGTGGGCTTTCTTGTAGACAGCATGTCTTAGTAGTAGAGTCTAACTCATTATTCCAATCCGATAATCTGATGTTTAACTGGCATATTTAGACCATTTACATTTAAACTGACTACTACCATATTTGAATTGAAATGCACCATCTTGCTGGCTGTTTTCTATTTGTTCTGTTAACTAAAATAAGTGACTGAGGCAAGCATCTCAATCAATCGAGGTTTACTGAGCTGGAGCTTGAGGGTGTGCCCAAGATAAACATGAGTCACAGACATCCTCTGTCGCTGGCATTCTCCCTGAAAAGGTTTTCAGGAGGTTCAGTATTTACACGTTTCCTTAAGGGAGAAAAGTCATGTAGGAAGAGTGGGAGTAGGCAGAAGAATGATTGCTCTCATATTGTCTTTGTTCTGTACCTGAGAAAATAAGGATTATTAGTGTGAAGTCCAATGGACATATCCTTGTTTTATGGGAGAATATACATGTTGAAAGGTTCAGAGGCCAGCAAAGAGCAATTGATGAGGGCAGTCATCCAGAGATGCCTGAGGCCACTTGCCTTTCTGTGGGGCCTGGGTAATGTACAAGGCTCTGACATAAGGGTGTGAAGCAATAGCTATGCATTTGGGGGAAAAGACGGAAATGTCGAGTGACTCTGTTTCCAGTTTCCTCTGGTGTAACGTGCCCTGAGGGTTCCGAAAGTATTTTTCTTCACAATTTTATTTTTTTCATATCTTTTGCTTGCTTTTTGAGTTTGAGTATTTTATGATTCCACTTTATCTCCTTCATGGAATTATTATTATACCTCTTTTTAAGTGTTTTTAGTGATTAACTTAGGTTTTAGAATAAAGATTAAAAACATGAATCTAGCTTCGCTTCATATAATATATGCCACTTTGCACATTTCCAATCCTCCCATTTATTCCTTGCGCCATTTTGTCACACATTTTACTTTTACAAAGGCTGTAAAGATATACTTCATTGTTATAATTTCTGCCTTAAACAGATTTTTTTAAATAAAGCAAATAAATTAAAAATAAATATTGTATTTTCCTTTCATTTATTCTATTTCTAATGCTCTTCATTTCTTTGTGTGGCTTCTAGTTTCTGATTACATCCAATTTCCTCTGTCTGAAGAACCGCCTGAAACATTTCTCACAGAGTAAGTCTCCTGACAATAAATTTCTTTCCTTTTTGATTGTCTGAGAAAGTCTTTATTTCTTTTTCACTTTTGAAGGATATTTTTGGAGTGTATAGAAGAATTCTACGTTGGACGCTTTTTTCTCTCAGCACTTTAGAGAGGTCACTTCATTGTCTTCTGGGTTTCATAGTTTCTGATGAGACATGGCTTGATTCTTATCTTTGTTCCTTGATAGATAACTTGTCTATTTGTTACAGGAACGTGGTCCCAATCCGGACCCCAGAGAAAGATCTTGGATCTCATGCAAGACAGAATTCAGGGTGAGTCTGCAGTTCAAAGTGAAAGCAGGTTTTTAAGACAGTAAAGTAATAAAAGAATGGCTACTCCATAGACAGAGCAGCCCCGAGGGCTTCTGCTTGCCCATATTATGGTTATTTCTTGATGGTATGTAAACAAGAGGTGGTTATTCATACCTCCCCTTTTTAGACCATAGAGGGTAACTTCCTGACGTTGCCATGGCATTGGTAAACTGTCATGGCGCTGGTGGGAGTGTAGCAGTGAGGATGACAAGAGGTCACTTTCCTTGCCATTTTGATTTTGGTGGGTTTTGGCCGACTCCTTTACTGCAATCTGTCTTATCAGCAAGGCCTTTATGACCTGTATTTTGTACTGACCTCCTGTCTCATCCTGTGACTTAGAATGCCTCAACCGTCTGGGAAGGCAGCCCAGTAGGTTTCAGCCTTATTTTACTCAGCTCTTTTTTAAGATGAAGTTGCTCTGGTTCACACACCTCTGACGTTTTTGTCTCTGCTGACCTGGAAGATTCTATCTTTGTCCTTTGTTTTTAGCAGTTTGACTATGGTATACTTAGGATTTGTTTGTTTATTTTTAATATACATAGGTTTATCCTGCTTTGTGCTCTCCAAGTTTCTTGGACCTGTGGTTTGGTATCTGTCACTAACTTTGGAAAATTCTTGGCCATTATTTTTCAAATATTTTGTTTGCTCTGTTATCTGTCTTTTCCTTCCGGGATTTCTATTATGTTTATATTTCACTATTTGATATTAACCACAGCTCTTGAATGCTCTTTTCATTTTTTCTTATTTTTCCAGTCTTCTTAGTCTTTGTATCTCTGCTCAGGTAATTTTTATTGATTTATCTTAAAGCGCACTGATTGTTTCCTCAAGTCTTCTGATGAGGCCGTCCAAGGAACTCTTTATCTTCATTACTATAACTAAAAAGCAGGTTATTTGTTTGCTGCATGTAGAGTCCAATGAATAAGAGCAAGGTCTTGGTGCAAGAAAGTAAATTTATTTCCGAAGCTAATTTTGCATTTACTAAGACCTAAGTGGGAAGTATGAGGAAGGGGAAAGGGAAAAAGAAGAGAAAAAGCCAATTAAACTAGGTCTTAGAAAAATGTCCTACACACCAGCAACAGCCAAGCTGAGAGTCAAGTCAGGAATACGGTCCCATTCACAGCTGTCACAAAAAAGAATAAAATAAGTAGGAATATAGCTAATGAGGGTGGTAACAGATCTCTACAATAAGAATTACAAAACATTGCTCGAATAAATCAGAGATGACACAACAAATGGAAAAACATTCCATAATCACGGATAGGAAGAATCAATATTGTTAAAATGGCTATACTGCTCAAAGCAATTTACAGATTGAATGCCATTCCTATCCAACTACCTAATGGTATTCATCACAGAACTAGAAAAAACTATTTTAAAAATCATATGGAACCAAAATGAACCTGAATAGCCAAGGAAATCCTAAGCAAAATGAACAAAGTTAGAGGTATCATGTTACTCGACTTCAAACTATACTGCAGGGCTACAGTAACCCAAACAGCACGGTACTGGTGTAAAAATGGGCACACAGACCAAAGGAACAGAATAGAGAACCCAGAAATAAGGCTGTGCACCTAAGACCATTTGATCTTTGACAAAGCTGACAAAAACAAGCAATAAGGAAAAGACTCCCTATTCAATAACTAGTGCTGAAATAGCTGGCTAGCCATATGCATTGAAACTGGACCTGTGTCTTATACTGTATACAAAAATCAACACAAGATGGGTTAAAGACTTAAATTTTAAACCCCAAACTATAAAACCCTGGAAGACAACCTAGGCAATACATCCTGGACATAGGAATGGGCAAAGATTTTATGACAAAAACACCAAAAGCACTTGCAACAAAAACAAAAGTTGACAAGCAGGAGCTAATTAAGCTTAAGAGCTTCTGCACAGCAGAAGAAACTATCAAAGAGTAAACAGACAGCCTATAGGATGGGAGAAAATATCTGCAACTATGCATCTGGCAAGGTCTATTATCCAGCATTTATAAGGAATTTAAACAATTTACAAAAAAACCCAGCCCCATTAAAAAGTGTGCAAAGGACATGAACAGACACTAGAAGACATACATGCAGCCAACAAACATATAAAAAATTGTTCAACATCACTGATCTTTAGAAAAACACAAATAAAAACCATAATGAGATACCATCTCACACCAGTCAGAATGGTTATTAATAAAAAGTAAAAAAATAACAGATGCTGGTGAGCTTGTGGAGAAAAAGGAACCTTATACACTGTTGGTGGGAGTGTAAATTACTTTATGCATTGTGGAAAGCAGTATAGCAATTTCTCAAAGATCTAAAAGCAGGACTACCATTAACCCAGCAATACCATTACTGGGTATATACCCAGATGGAATAGAAATCATTCTACCATGAAGACACATGCACATGAATGCAGCACTATTCATAATAACAAAGACATGGAATCAACCTAAATGCCCATCAACAGCAGATTTGATAAATAAAATGTGGTTCATATACATCATGGAATACTATGCAGTCATAAAAAAGAATAATATCATGTTTTTTTGCAGGAACATGGATGAAGCTGGAGGCTATTATCTTTAACAAACTAATGCAGGAACAAAAAACCAGATACTGTATGTTCTCACGTATAAGTGGAGCTTAATGATGAGAACTCATGATTACAAAAAGAGTACAACAGACACTGGGGTCTATTTGAAGGTGGAGGGTAGAAGAAGGGAGAGGAGAAGAAAAGATAACTATTCATCATCTGAGTGATAAAATCATCTGTACAAAAAAACCCATGACATGAGTTGACCTATGTAACAAACCTTTGCATGAACATTAGAACCTAAAATAAACATTTTTTTAAAAGGCAAATGGGAGTACTCAATTACATTGACATGGATCAAACTGGGGAGAACTGATATTTTAACAGCATTGAATCTTTCAGTTCCAGATAATGATATATCTCTATTTATTTACTTAGGGTTTCTTTAATTTCTTTTAGCACTATTCTGTTGTTTTCAGTCTTAAGGTATTTTATATTATTTGTTAAATTTATTTTTGAGTGTTTTGTATTTATTAATGTTATAAAAAATGAAATATATTTTTAAAATATTTCATTTACAAATTCTTGCTGCTAGTACATAGCTATATAATTGATTTTGTATTTTGCATACAAAATCACTACACTCTCTTATTGGTTATAATATCCATTTTGTAACTTCCTTAAGAAAAGGGAAGTAGGTAAATAAAAAACAAGAAACAAATATAATAAAATTATAAAATGGTAGACATAAATTCAAACACATCAATATCCACATTTAAAAATAAATGATCTAAATATATTAATTAAACTCAGATTGCCAAAACAAATTTTTTAAAGTGACCCAACTATATGTTATCTACAAGATACTAACTTGGCATACATTTGCTTAAAAACTAAGGTTGGTGAAAGATACATCATGCAAAAATGAATCAAACAAAAGCCAGAATCACTATATTAGACAAAGTAGACTTCAGAGCAAAGAAATATACCAGGGATAAAGGACATTGCACAATGATAAAAGAATCAATTCACCAGGAAGATATAACAATTCTAAGTGTGTGTGTACCTAATAGCTTCAAGATACGTAATGCACATAATGACAGAACTGAAAATGGAAATAGACAAATCACAGTTATAGTTGGAGACATCAATTCTCTCCTCTCATTATTTTATAAAGGCAATATACAAAATATCAGCAAGTATATAGAAGACCTAAACAATACTACCAATCAACCAGATCTAATAGACATTTATAGAACATTCCATCCAACAACTGCATGATACACATTCTTTAGAAGTGCCATTGCAACACCCACCAAGATAGATTAAATCCTGGGAAATAGCAAATTTAAAAATATTTAAAAGAATTAAAATAATGCAAAGCATAGCCTCTTATAGTGGAGTTAAACTAGAAACCAATAATTGGAAGATGATGGGAAAAATTTCAAAAACTTGAAATTAAATAACACATTTACAAATAATTCATGAGTAGAAAAGAAGGGCTCAAGGAAAATTAGAAAATACTTTGAACTGAATGGAAATGAGAAGACAACACATCGAAATTTGTGGGAAGCAACTAAAGCAATGCTTGGAGGAAAATTTATAGCATTAAATACTTATATGAAAAAAGAAGAAAGGGGCCAGGCATGGCGGCTCACACCTGTAATCCCAGCAATTTGGAAGGCTGAATTGAGCAGATCCCTTGAAGTTAGGAGTTTGAGACCAGCCTGGCCAACATGACGAAACCCTATCTCTACTAAAAAATACAAAAATTAACCGTGAGTAGTGGTGCATGCCTGTAATCCCAGCTACTCAGGAGACTGAGGCAGAGAATCACTTGAACCTGGGAGGCGGAGGTTGTAGTGAGCCAGGATCATGACACTGCACTCCAGCCTCAGTGACAGAGTGAGACTCTGTCTCACCCACACACAAAAATAATAATAAGAAGAAGAAAGGTTTCAAAACAACAATCCGTGATGCAACCTTAAGGAATTAGAAAAAAAAGAGAATAAAATAAAATAATGAAAAAAGGAAGAAAGAAGACAAAAGCCCAAATCAATCAAATCAATAAAATTGAAACAGAAAAACAGAGAAAAATCAATGAAAATAAAAGCTGGTTATTTGAAAAGGCTAATAAAACTGATAAACCTCTAGAAAAACTGAAAGATGAGATTTCATTAAAGATCCTATAGACATTAATATAATGGTAAGAAAATACTCTGAAAAAATTATACACATAAATACAACAACTTAGATGAAACGGAACACTTCCTCAAAAGCTACAGATTGCCCAAACTCACTCAAGAGGAGGAAGCAATTCCCAGCTCATTTGATTAGGTCCAGCATTGCTCTGACACCAAAAACAGAAAAAAATAACATTAAAAACTCTACAGACCAATATATTACATGAACATAAATGTAAAAATTCTTAGCAAAACATTAACAAATCAAACTCAGCAAAATACAAAAAGATGTACACCATGACTAAATGGGCTTTATTCTGGGATTGCCAGACGGTTCAATATTTAAAAATCAGTCAACATGTTTCACAGTGTTAAGAGTCTAAAGAAGAAACCCACACAATCATACCCTGTTGGATATATTGCACACAACCAATCAATTGGTGCAGTAAAAACATTTAATAAAATTAAACATTCATTTATTATTATACAGACTCTCAGTAATACAAGGGAACTGTATTAACCTGATAAAAGTCATCTACCTAAAACATGCAGTTACATCATATTTAATGGTGAAGGACTGGATGCTTTCCCCTTAATATTAGGAGCAAGACAAACATGTCTGCTCTCACTGCTACTATTAAATATGGCAGTGGAAGTCCTAGCCAGCACATGAGGGCAAGAAAAAGAGATGAAAAGCATATGGATCAGAAAGAAAGAATGAAAAGGCCATCTTTGCGCATGGTATGATATTCTGTAGAAAAGCTCAAGAAACCTGTAGAAAAAAGACCTCCTAGAACATAAGTGGTTTAGTAAGTTTTCAGGAGATCAAGTCAACAGACCAAGATCAATCTTATTTTTACATAGTAGCAATGAACAATCGGTAAGTCAATTAAAATAAGTGCTATTTACAATGGTTCCAAAGGAGTGAAACACTTAGGTGGGTATAAATCTAACATAATTACTATGGAATCTGTATGCTGATACCAAAAAACGCTGAAGAAAGAAATCCAAGAAAACCAAAATAAATGGAGACTATATTGTAATCATGCATTGAAAAACTTAGCATGGTAAAGATGTCAGTTCTCTCAAATTGATCTACAGATTTAATGGAATTTAATTATAATTCCAGTAGGAGTTTTGTGTATATAAATGAGCTAATTCTAAAGTTTATATGGAAAAGCAAAGGAATCACAATAGACAAAATAATATGAAAAGTACATTAAAGTTGAAACACATGTACCACCCAATTTTAAGAGTTACTATAAAGCTACCTTAAATCAAATCAATACAGTATTGGCAAAGCAATAGACATGTAGATCAATAGAACAGAATGGAGAGTCTAGAAACATACCCACACAGATATGGCCAATTGATTTTTAACAAAGGTGCAAAGGCAAATCAATAAAGTCATGTCAGTCTTTTCAACAAATAACATTAAAAATATGAGATGTCCACATGCAAAATAATGAACATTGACTTAAATGTTACACTTATTAGAAAAGGTAACCTAAAACGTATCACAGATCTAAATGTAAAATATAAAACTAGAAGTCTTTTAGAAAAAAATCTTCCTTAGCTGTAGTTAAGCAAAAAAGGTCTTAGACCTGTCACCAAAGGCATAATCCATTTAAGAAAATTGATAAATTGGATTTTATTAAAATAAAATAAGTGTACTTTTTGAAATACACTGTTAAAAGAATGAAAAAGACTAATAACACCAAATGCTTGCAATGGTGTGGTGCACTTGGAACTCTCACACTTGTTAGTGAGAGTAAAACATGATGTAATCACTGTGGAAAATATTTTTAAAGTATTATAAAATTAAATATACACTTACTATATAACCAAGTAATTCTGTGCCTAGGCAATTACTCAGGAGAAATGAAAACATGCATTCCTGAAGAGACTCATACAAAAATGTGCATAGCAAATTTGCGTGTCATAGCCCAAACTCTAAAGCATGGCAAACACCGATTGATGGGCCAGTACGTGAGTACATGACTCAATGTTTGTGATATTTAAACACAGATAGCAGGGTGTGGTGCCTCATGCCTGTAATCCCAGCACTTTGAGAGGGTGAGGCGGATGGATCACCTGAGATCAGGTGTTCGAGACTGGCCTGGCCAATATGGTGAAACCCTGTCTCTACTAAAAATATAAAAATTTTCTGGGCGTAGTGGTACATGCCTGTAATCCCAGCTACTCAGGAGGCTGAGGCAGGAGAATCACTTGAAGGAGGGAGGCAGAGGTTGCAGTGAGCCAAGATTGCAACACTGCACTCCAGCCTGGGCAACAAAGCAAGACCCCGTCTCAAAAAATAAAAAGAAAGAAGAAAACCAGTTAAAGCCAATTTGTGGTGCTAGAACACTACCTGCCCATGTGAGGTGGTGGAGGGAAGCACGTGGGAATTTTCTAGAATGACGGGTAGGTTCTATATGTAAATCACGGTGGTAAATGTATCCAAAGATGGTTGTAATGATCCTTCCCATCCTGTATGCTCTCTTCCAGTGTGACTTGTCCACTCTCCCAGCACCACAAGCTTTCTCCTCCTATTGAATGTGGCTAGTGCTGTGACCTTTTTTGACTAACCAAATAAAGAAGTGACGATGTACAACTTTCAGGCCTGTGCCTTCTCAGACTGCCATTCCATCATTTTCCTTTAGAGCATCCAGCTCCCATGCAGCTGCCTGGAGAGGCTCACATCAAAAAGGGGAGGCCCTACATCAGTAGTCTCAGCTGGTATCCAGTATCAGTTCTAGCCTTTTAGGGCCGGCCAGCCATCCCAGCCACAAACGGACATCAGAAGAGCTCAACTCATAGTGTACCAGGTCAGCTCATAGAACCTTGAGAAGTTGTTCATATTTTAAGTTAATTAGCTTTGGGGCAATATTTATGTATCAGTAAGTAAACAATACCTTGGGCTATTAGTTACATGGGCATATACATGGGGCACAATTCATAGGATTGTACATTTATGATCTGAACATTTTCTTGTGTGTTAACCTCAATAAAAAATATTTATAAGTAAAAGTAAACCATAAGAGTATTATATAGTCATGTAAACCCAAAAGCAGTCATAATAAATAGTAAAAATTTAAAGCCTATTCTATTAAAATCAGAAACTAGAAAGGGGGTGC